TTTCAAACCGCTATTGAACACAAACAATCAATAAACAATTTACAAACTAACATCTTTTATTTATTTAATTAACCTATATAAAAGCCCCACTCACATCAAAATCCCGCTGTCGAAAAACCAGTTATCCTGACACTGGCTGACATATACTTCGGAGAGTGGCCTGTGGGCTATTATAGCTGACTAGCTACTTATGGAAAGTAAATACCTATTTAGAATACATAGTACCTACAGTAATATTTGCATAACCTACAGTAAAATACAAAAACATAAAGAAAACATAATTATGTTACACTTTTTTTTGTTTGTTTTAGAAATTGTTATACTTTTTTAAAAAAAAGTTTTTTATGTTACCGTTTTTAGTTGAGAGTTATGTCCCTTTAGTGGGTACAGGCGTGATATTATATTGTGTGATTGTGTAAAGAATGCATAGATAGACGATAGCAGCAATCGCGATCGATTTGCTGTCATTTATTGAAGAGTGCCCCCGATTTCTCCAAGAGAATATCGTAGAGGCAGTTTACAAACATAAATTGCACAAGGACAAACATCCAGACCCGAAACAACTATTTGTAGGCCATACAAATATTTGTTCCGTGCGGGATTCGAACCCGCGGTGCCCAGCGCAGCCTCATTACTAAGCCACTGCGATACGGAGCTCAAATTGCCGTTTGAGTTTATGTTATTATTCAAAAATGAATCGCATAGGTGGTCGAGTGCGTATGTGTGTGCGCACTAGCTTCTTACTGCTCATCACAGCGTCTATCCCTTTCGCACGTGATTTCGGCTGAGATAGCATGCATTTTTACCCCGCTCACCACTTAGTTTGTGCCTTCGACTAGGGCAACCTTAAATAAGGAAAATACAACCTCGTAAACAATGTTCCTACTCTTTTATTAAATTACGATACCGTTTCTTTTCGGCAGTGCCTAACTAATAATCCAAGTTTGGTACAGATCCAATCTAAAAAAACTTACTAGTGTTCGTTCGACAGATTAAAATAATGGTTTTGGCTACTTACTACTATACATCATTTGTACTTGCTCTAAGCCTCAAAAATAAAAAAATCTTTTAACATAATAGGTTGTTGAAATTAAGCTTCTCCGGAGATTCAATAATCGACTGACATTTAAGTGCTAGTTATGTCCATGTGCAGTATCCGTGGTAGCTCTGGTGGTAGAGTTAACGCTCGCTGTAAATTTCACAGTACGCGAGCAAACCGGGTTCGATCCCCGCCGGCACCAATGAAATTATTAATTGCAATTTTAAGTGCTGATTTACCACGTGCTCGGCGGTGAATGAAAAAATCGTAAGGAAACTTGCATGTCTGAGAAATAAGAAATATTTCGAAGACATCAAATTCGCCAACACGCATTGTCCTAAAACCCTCTCACAAATGTGAGGAGGCCTGTGAGGCAGCAGCGGGACGCATATCGGCTGTAGCTTTATGTCCATGTTTGTCGTAATTGTTTTGTTTTGAGTTTAATAAGTTGATTTAAGTATGTCTAATTTTTTGAATGTTGCTACTAATACTATACTTATATAACGAGGTAGGCGTATCTGATAACGGACAGTTACCTGTTTCAACCACGCTAGTAATATATAAGTCCATGGGTTCAACGCTGATTTCATTCATTTTTATGGTTTTCTATTAGCATATACGATAAAAAATTCACGATATGGTTATTGCCATATTTTTTCACATTTTCATTTCCATTATTATTTACCAAACTTGGGGGAACTGCTTTTCTTGATTTTGAGTTTTTTGTCGTATACAAAAACGTCATCGTCGTCTTGAAATCCTTTCAGATTTCATTTCATTTTTATTATGTGCAGTAAGGATTCACCGATTTTGTTTTATTTTTATATATTCTTATGCAGTCTCCTCGTCTCAGATTGAAGTTACTAATCATTAGAGTTAATGGAAAGAAAGAAAGGAGAAAAAATAAATACCAGTAAAAGATAAAGAAGTATAGAAGAAAAATAGTGATAGAAATAGAAAATGCATTTATTTATATACGAAAACAGATTTAAAAGATAGGTACAAAATTCTGTCCATAAATCGACTAGATCGCTGACCATTCCTATCTTTATCTTATAAACAATAAATAATTTACGATTATATTAAGGCACAAAAATTATTTAATATATCACAACTTCTATAATAATGAAGAAAAGGTACGCGCGTTAAGCTGATACTAAAACGTATAGATTCGGCTATTTTTTCCTCACTTTACTATCCTCATTCCTCATATTAAACGATAATAAATATTATGTAATTGCACTAAACGAAGCTTGAATATAATTCAAGATGGTTCGATCTAGGTTGACACTCTCCTCCGTAGGTCTTTGTTGAAGAATTTTTATTATTTTAATGTTGACGAACTCGCGTAGATGACCTACACAAAGAACTGCACACAGATAAAATACAACCACGTTGACATATTATACTTCTTAAGCGTAAAATGGAAAGTCTACACAAAATTAATTATATATTACAACGTAACGCTACAATTTCACGCCAACATTTCGCTTACATTATAAAGTGGTACAGAGCTCTGGAATGTTCTGTAAAGCGCAATGACATAATTTCTATGATTTCTTGTATAGAATAAATAATGTATTGCTGTACATTTTTTTATATTTTTCAGTTATATCTCCGTTGTGTCCGTGAAATAAAAATTTTTCAAGGCTTTTTAAAACATTTTATTTTCACATAATTTCAGATTTAGGTTCCCATCAAACACATATTTCTAAACATTTAGATGTTTTTATAACACATTTAGACACATAAGGGTAACCAGCAGAGTTTATTAGCAGTCTTACGAGGCACATGAATATGTGAAGTATATAAAAGGCTTTCAATAGTCTTTAAGGTAGATTGGAATAATAATAGTTTTAACTGAGGAGCTGGGGAACAAAAGCGGACTTGTCCACTGTACTCGATTTTTGTTTTTTTGCACTCTTTATGCTCATATCTAAAGACCCCCGGAGTATTTTGTATCAAAAGCGGTCCGATCTAATAGAAAAAAATAGTTAAAAATCATGATTCCTTTCAAAAGCGGACTAGTCCTGTTAGAAATTAACTAAAATTCTAAGGTATTTTTTCTCCAATCAAAACCGGACAAAAACGTAAGGAGAATTGCCGTTAGTACGAAAAATGTCAAACAAAACCGAACAAGTCTAAAAAAAACATGCTTTTTTGTTATGATATCCCTAAATCAATTGTGGCAACACTGATAAATTAAAAAAAATCAACTGTGTGACGGTCACTGCTTTTGTAATTTTGAGAAGCATTTTACTAGAAAACCGACCAAATTATGAAAGAAAACGAAGAAATAGTAGCCAATATAAATGATGGAACACGTAAACGAAAAAAAAAACAGGACGACAAGCGAAAAACAACAGGGATTCGGAGTAAGTGTATAATTATACCTACCGGTGCGTGTTTGTTATTATTCCAACCTATCATGAATTTAAAATTGCTATTATTTTGTTTTAGGTACGCAGATAAAGACCCCCTTGCTTTGAATTTCGAGTCTGTGTGTGAACATAAAAAGGGAAAATTTAAGTGCCAGACTTTGACATTAAACGAAATTGTATATAACCGCAAACTACCTTATGAAAAAATTGGGAAAAATTTACAGGATACTTACTTGTCACGGCTCATATCACCATGCCCCATAGAAAGAGAAAGATCGAGAGAGGAATCTCGCAAGCCGCAGAGGAAGTTAGTTAAAGTATGCAAATCTTTTTTTTGGCTGCTCTTGGGCTCAGTAAGCACAGGGTGAACTTAATTGCGAGCAAATTATTTGAAGGCAAAACGCCACTTGACGCCAGAAGAGGAGACAGAAAAAGTTTCAAAAGTATCGATAAAAAGGAATCTGTAAGAAAATTCCTTGGTGGTTTGCCAGCAAAGGAGTCACATTACAATCGAAACAAATCGAAAAGAGTTTATCTGTCATATGAGCTAAACGTAAAAAAGTTGTGGGAGTTGTACAATAATTCAGCGACTGATGATTTAAGTCACACAATCGATGTTCCGAAATGTTTTTGAGAACGATTTTAACATTGGGTTTTCATCACCATCTTCCAACGTATGTAGTACCTGCGAACTGCTGAAGAATAAGCAGAACACTGAAAAGAATCCTGAAGAACTTCAATCATTGAAACTTCAACTCCGAGTTCATAAAGCTAGGGCCAAAGCGTTCTTTTCCCTTACCAAAGAAACACCTGAAAATTCAATGACAATATGTTTTGATCTCCTACAAATTCAATCCCTTCCTAAAACACCAATCCAGGAATGTTTCTATTTACGACAAGTTGGACTTTATTCTTTCTGCATCACTAATATGTCTACAAAAGACCCACATTTCTTCATATGGACAGAAAACCAAGCTAAAAAAGGCGTCACTGAAATTGTGTCTGCTCTTTTAAAATACCTGATGTTTACTGATTTTTCTGAAGTGGAAGTTTTACGTCTTTTTTTGGACGGGTGTGGAGGGTAAAACAAAAATTCACATGTCGTCCACACTTTGATTTTCTGGTTGAAAACTACGCCCCTCAAAATGTCACCAAAATCGTACTAACCTTCCATGTGCGCGGTCACAGCTTCTTGCCGGCGGATCGAGTGTTCAGGAGGGTCAACTTTTGCGAAAGAAGCCTTTCATTTTGGATTTGCGGAAGAAGCCTTTCATTTTGGATCCAAAAATATATCATGAAGTTTACGCAAAGCATGGCAAAGTTCATATTTTAGCTGAAAACTGGAACCATTACAACGTCAAAAAACTTGAAGACTATTACAAGAAAGTAGAAAGTATTCGAGATGCAAAAAGAATAATAATAGAAAGAAAGTCAACCATAATCCAAACAGAACCTCCTAGTCAATCTCAACAATCAACACGAAGAAATCAAGGGCACTTTTAAATCACGTAAACTTTGGCGTGAAAGTCTTAAACACCTACTATGGAGATGAATCATCAGAAAATGTATCATTGTTAAAAATGACAAAAACACATCCGAGTTTACTACAAAGACTTTCAATGGTTAATGAACCAAAACCAAAGAAGAAAAAAGATGTTGAAACACTCTTAAAGAAACAATTCGGAGATAATTGGATGGATAATCAAGAGCTTGATTGGTTTAAAAACAATATATTCCATACCACACCAGAGGCAATTGCTGAAACAAGTCAAATAAATGACGAATACGATGACACAGTGAAGATTGTGACTTGCGAACCAGATGTGGGAGAATTCGTATAATTTTTAAATAAAAAAATACAATAATAGAATCTAGTTTTTTGTCATAACCGGACATGTCCATAACTCTTTCAATTATAACCGGAGTTGTCCACCTTTAATAATCAAAACCGGACTTGTCCATTACAAAAAAAAAAATGAAAACACATATTTTTGTGACCAACAAGCAGGCTATTGGTTATGTTGTATTATATACTATATTATACTGAAATGCATAAATTTCAGCCCATATGCATATACCTAATTCAGTTTTTTTGCTCTAGTGTAAAATATAATTAGTTGGACAAGTCCGCTTTTGTTCCCCAGTTCCTCAACTCATGCTTTAGAATTTCAAGTGAATAGCTTATTTTGATATGAAAAATTAAAACTTTCATAAGTACATTTATTATACTATTATGACTAAAATATAAATGAGTGTAGGAAAATAGTTGAGGTAGATATACACAGATCTGAAACAGATAAATCTGCGAAAATTTAAATTTTCTTAAACATGTAATAATTGCATTATTTCCTGGCTCGCCTCGCATTATAGATCTCATTATAATAAAGTTATAGTTTCTAAATGTGACACTTATTCCTAGAAGATAAAGTTTAAAATCGAATAAATTATATGGACGAAATCACCTCTCATCTTTAAAAGCAATACGAGTCCAGTCTTCGTTGACACAACCAAACGTCACGTTGCACTATCAAACTTTTGGCCTTGCTATTTCAAATACAATTTTAAAAAGTAAAAACCTATATTGCGATGCAAACCTTATCATAATCTATAATATAATCTTAAGGTCTTATAGACTTTAAACATCACACATAATATCCAATTAATAAACTATGTGTTAAAAACCTATGAAATTACCGATTTGCGTGAAACAGTTAAGAAATGGTCATTGTGTTTTACTCACAGTAATATCACTTATTCGAAAAATTAAAACTCATCACGGGAAATTTCTATTGATGCCATATTCCTGTCTGGTGGGGACAGTTATTGATATCCATTCATTAATTTCTCTATAAAAATGGTTACTCTAATTTAGAAAAAATACAAGCAAGATCAGAATGCCCAGATCCAGTTTTTGAAGATATGAAATGAAAACATTAATTTTTCGACGTAAGAAAATAATATTCGTCTTTTTGGTTCCTTTGATCAAAAGGTAGATGATAAATAAACTCTGAATCCTCTAAGTATACGTATTTATTTTAAAAAATAGGTAATCGAAGCATGTTTCATGTGACTGTTAATTATAGAGTGCGCACTTCGACATTAGGATATTAGTTCATATAATATTCAAACCTTGGTAGCTCATGGGTTAAGCGCTCGATGTCACAGTACGCGAGCAACCCAGGTTCGAGCCCTGTCGGCACTAATAAAATTGTTAATTGCAGTTTTAAATGCTGAATTACCACGAGCTTTACGGTGAAGGAAAACATCGTGAGGAAACCTGCATGTCTCAGAAATAAAATAAAAAACATATTTTCGAGACGTGAAGTCCACCAACACGCAATGGGGATTTTTCTTAGACCTAAAACTTCTGAGAAATGGGTGGAGACCTGTGACCAGGACTGGGAAGTAGAAGGATGTAACTTACTGTAAGTTATGCACAGCTCAAACATACTCGTATTAAAATTAAAACTTCCGGAAAGGAAGCGTTAAAACTCCTATCGGAACTCCACTGCCAAGCGTGGTCACGCAATCGAATGTTTTATTATTATTGTTGAGTCGTTACCAAGAGTGACAAAGAACACAAGTCTACCTGATGAAAAATGGTCGCTGTAGCCCACAGACACCTACATCTATCCTAAATTAAGAATCAAAATGTAGATGCGTTGTCACCCCTAAGTACTAATATAGAATGCCTCTTTACAAGAAACCACCTCCAGTGCTGTAGGTACTCATCATAAAACACAGCAGTATTAAGCCGCTGTTTACGCTAGTATCCTGAATTTACTCTGTCACACGTGAAAAATTCAAACACGCCTCGAAACGTGCGACAACTTCAAACCAACTAATCCTTTTCACGTCGTCATCTTACTTATCGCGCTCGCGCTGCTAACTACACACTTCGGATGCATTTTGTCACGTGAGACACTTCATGCACCTGAAACTGTTTGATCAGTACGTACGACGACACATTAAAGTTTTATGAACAAAATATTAACTGTCATTAAAAATTGTCCACTTATGTGATAAAATAGCGGACACTCAGACTATTGGACGACACACACGGTTAGTTCAACTGATCATTCCAACTGATGATGGACTGTTGATATTTTTTAAATATTGGATTTTCGATATATCGACAAATAACTTATATATAAAACTCCGATATTAATACATTTATAATTATCGATATATCGAAAATCCGATATTTAAGAAAATATCAACAGTCCTAGTTTGAACTGATCAGTTGAACTGACCGTGTGTGTCTCCAAAGTCTGAGTGTCCGCTATTTTATCACATAAGTGGACAATTGTCCATTAGATGTGACTTTCATGGTCAAATTGTATTTATTTTTGTATATTGTAACGATTAACATTTATCGATATGTCCGAGGTTAACAAGACATATCATGAAATATCAACACCTGATAATCTGCCGAGGATCTGCATAATTAAACGATTGACATTGGCGGGACGTTTCATCTCGGACCATTAAGGAAAGGGCCTTACGTGACCAAAATTATGGTACCGGAAAAGCAACATAAATAATGATTGTTAAAAACCTTATAGGAAGCTGTTGGCAAAAAAAGAACCTATTGCCCGTGTCCTAAATAATTAGTTTAAATTAGTTCCGGACCATTTGACGTCTTTCGGGAATTTTAAGGTAGCAAACAGTCAATACCGATAGCGTATATTCTTTAGCGACACTAAAACAAGTTCTCAAAGCACCTAAGAGGGAAAAAATTGTTTTAGTAATTATTATCGGAGCACTTGTTTCATCATTTATTGTAATAATTTACATATGCAGAGATTTAACATGCAAAATTGCATCACCTTTACGTATCAGAATCTACTTTAAACTATTATTATAACGATGATACGAAAGCAGCAATCCGCCGACGGTCTAGTTCCCAACGAAATTGAATTTTTTATTTAGAAAATTAAGTTACAATAGAACAAAACGAAACTCGAAAGCGACCAATAAAATCGGTCATTTCATAGGTAACAATGGTTTTTTAGACTACCCTAGAAGGAAAATATCTATTTAAATATTATAGGAACAACATCGACGGTACACAGTCATCACCATTTAAAATTATGAATACAAATATTTAAATAGATAATACATTTTTATCGTGAGAAATTGAATTGTGGGGGGGGGGGGACATTACTTGCTTGATTTACACAAATATGGCAAGTTTATGCAATTTTCTTCCACTACGTGTAGATATGTTTATTAAGAGTTCATAATTAGATACTTGCCTCATATTATTAAACATAAAACTAAATATCAATATATGAGACATCATTAACCCATGGCATTATATCCGACTTGCAATAATTATTGATAAAAAATGCAATAAAAATAAATAAAGTAATTAATTAAAATATAAATAAGCCAAGCAGTATGTTTTATTAAATTCATTATGAGTATATTTACTACTGGACATCTATTCAATATTAACACATACTCAAAGTAACATATTTAAAAGGGTTCAGGATTGAAAAGGGTAAATTTAAAAAGTAGAAAATTAAAAAAAAGAATAACAAAATAATATCATAATTTATTAAACATAAATAAGTGCAAAAAGCACCTATCAAGGAGTATTTTTACCGATGGATGTAAAGCTTACTCGCTTATGATGTCATTCACTCCAGTAATCAATACGTTCACACCGTGTAATAAGGTAAGACTGACGTCTTTCTGCATCGGTATAGGTTCACTTCCGTGTAATTTGTGATGAGCTTTTAGAGCTGCGGCTTTTCTAAAAGATTGTCCGCACGTGTTACACACGTACGGTCGCTCACCAGTATGACAGCGAATGTGAGACACAAGGTCTTGGCGTTGAACGAACGCCTTCTCGCAATACGAACATTGATAAGGTTTCTCGCCGGTATGAATGCGTCGATGATTCTTCAGCGTTCCAGAAGCCGTGAACTTCATGGAACAGAGGTCGCAGGCGTAAGGTCTCTCTCCAGTGTGGATGCGACGGTGCTTGACCAGAGAGCTTGACGTCGTGAATCCGTTGCCGCAGTCGTCGCATACAAAAGGATGCGCGCCACTGTGTTTCCGCTTGTGAGCAACTAATTCGCCTTTCGAAACGAAGCTGACAAAAGAAAATATTATTACTGATGATTTGTTTTAAATTCTTTTCTTTGGTAAAGCTGTAATGATAAACTACAACATAGTTGACTAAAATCGTATGGTTTCATTCTTACAGAACGTGGTATATGGTGCCAATTTTCACAGAATAGCAGCATAAAATAGTAGCTTAATGCTTTGTTTCGTATGGTGAGTGTAGAGAACAGGAGACCCTTTTTACTGGAAACGAGGCATTCCATCTTAGTCCTCACGGGTGACAACGCATCTGCATTTTGATTTGTAATCGAGGATAGATGTAGATGTCTATGGACCGCAGCAACCACTTACCATCAGGTGGACTGCGTACTAGTTTGTCACCCTATCCTATAAAAAAACAGTATATTTTACTAATACGCCAGTGTAATACATATAACGTAGGTACAGGTAGGTGACAACGAATCTGTATTTTGATTCGTAATCGAGCAGACAAACAGCCAAAATATAGTTGTAGCATGGTTATATCAATGCAAAAGGAAGAAATAATGAAGGCAAATGAAGATAATAACATTTAAAGGCCACCGCCTATTCAGAGTTAACGATGCTATAGATGATCTAAACAGTGCAGGTAAGCTAGATAAGCATTAACCTGCATATCCAAAATACTGCTTCATTTGATCAAATCTCAAAATTAAACAGTTACATGCGATATCTAAACACGAATTCTTTAATATACATTTATTTGCCGCGTCCTGCTTATGCACATTGCGGTCACCAGTTACAGGGCTTACGTCGCGTCGGTGAGTGGAGTCGCATTCAAGGAGCCAAGATGGCGCTAACAGGATTAATAATATAAAATTAATATAGGCGTTTTATTAACTAATAAAAAACGCAAATAAAACACACCTAGTCGTGGAAATGTGGAAACCAGCCCGTGTTAAACTAAACTAAGCTTTGACGGCAAGTCTAATGAGGTAGTGATGCTGCCACTTCAGACTATTCTTACAGAATTGCAATTTATCCATATACATCATTACATTGACAATAACAACTTTTACGGATTTTATCCTGTTTAATTTGTATGTGTATTGTTCGCGTAAATATAAAAAAAATTCATTACATCATTGCTATCAGCACTTACTATCGGGTATAACCCGATAGTAAGTGCTGATACCTATATTCGAGTATTTATTTGCTCACTAAGTGTAAAATTCAACAGTGGTAGAGCCACGCGGCAGCTTTGCTGTTGCACGTATGGGCCGGCTCAAACCGGGGTGGTACCACGACCTCACAGCATACCGGCGTGAAGTGGAGGCCCAAATCCCCCATCAACATGGTAGCGGAATTAAATGATGATAGACTACCCCAGGAGGGTACCAGCACCCCTGGAGAATCCCTCGCTGAGCATCCACGACCATGTTTCTCCACTCCTGATCGTGGGTGCTCAGGCAGCCTCGCGTAGTCTCGGAGGGGGGGGGGGGTGTCAAAATTCCGCTCAAGACTACATCAGCTTGGGGCAAACGGAGCAACAAGACCAAGGCGACCCCTGCCACGCTATCCGTGAATTTCTGCAATATCAGGGGACTTCACTCTAACCTAAACGCCGTCCACTACCATTTCGAGACGGCGAGGCCGGCTCCGCTCTTTCTGACCGAGACGCAGGTGTCCTCTCCGGCTGATGTCTCGTATCTCTCCTACCCGGGGTACAAACTGGAACACTCTTTTGTGCCACGGGCTGGAGTTTGCGTTTACGTCATAGAGGACATCTGTTCTCGATGCCTCGGCAGTCTTGAAGGATCGGACCTGTCCATCCTTTGGCTACGCGTAGACAGCGACGAGCATCCGCGCGTCTACGGGTGCCTCTATAGGTCCCATAGCGGTAATGCCGAAACAGACCGACTCTTCGACCACGTCCAAATGGCTACAGATTTGTTGCTACAGCAGATCCCCTCCGCAGAGATCGTGATCCTCGGCGACTTTAACGCCCATCACGCCGAATGGCTTGGTTCACGTTTAACCGATCATGCGGGGAGATCTGTTCATGATTTTGCCTTGGCATATGGTCTGACACAACTGGTTACCTTCCCTGTTGGACCTTCTGCTGAGCTCTCACCCGAACGGATATCAGATTTCCGTCGACGCCCCTTTAGGCTCCTCGGACCATTGTCTTGTCCGGAGTGTGGTGCCACTCACGCTGAAATCGCAGTTGCATTCTACAGGCTGCCGCCGTGTTTGGCACTATAGGTCAGCCGATTGGGATGGGATGCGGTCTTTCTTTGCATCCTACCCTTGGGGGCGGGTTTGCTTCTCGCGGGACAATCCCAACGTTGTTGCGGATTCTGTCGCTGATGTGGTACTTCAGGGTATGGAACTTTATATTCCTTCCTCTGTGGTGCCCATTGGAGGCAAATCTCAGCCATGGTTTGGTCGCTCCTGTAAAATAGTGGTTATAGAGTTGAATTGGGGAGAGCCTGGGCTCACGCATCAACGTCTCGGGATGTAAACACCAGCGCTCTAAAAAAGAAGTATAATTCCGCCTCTAGATCCTTCAAAAAAGTTATTGCCAAGCACATAGGCAGAATTGGCGAGAAACTAGTTCGCCTTCCTTCTGGAATCCGTGCATTCCGGTCTCTCACCAAGGCTGTCCAGGGGAATTTCTGTCAGTCATCTCTGCCATTTCTGCTCAGGGAGGACGACTCACTGGCCCATACCGCAAAGGAGAAAGCCGATCTGCTAGGCTCTTTCTTTGCGTCCAACTCGACTATCGATGATGGGGGGAGTACACCGCCGACCATCCCGCGGTGTGAGTGTTCTATGCCGGTAGTGCAATTTACACAGCGCTCGGTTCGCATAGCACACTCCCCCCTGGACATCCACAAGTCGAGTGGGCCTGACGGAATCCCTCCAATTGTGCTGAGGACGTGTGCTCCGGAGTTGGCACCGGTTTTAACGCGTCTTTTCCGGTACTCCTACTCTCTAGGCGTAGTCCCAAAATCATGGAAGACGGCTTTCGTCTACTCGATCCCTAAAAAAGGCGACCGCTCAGAACCGTCCAACTACCGGCCTATCGCCATCACCTCCTTGTTCTCCAAAACAATGGAGTCCATTGTAAACTGCCAGCTCATGAGGTACCTTGAGGATCACCAGCTGATTAGTGACCGCCAATACGGTTTTCGTCGTGGCCGATCAGCTGGTGATCTTCGTCCCTCATAGATGGGCGGAGGCAGTAGAGTCCAAGGGGGAGGCATTGGCCGTTAGTTTGGACATTGCGAAGGCCTTCGATCGGGTTTGGCACAAAGCGCTTCTTTCGAAGCTCCCTTCCTATGGGCTTCCCGAGAAATTGTGCGATTGGATCACCAGCTTTCTTGCAGATCGGAGCATAAAGGTCGCTGTAGACGGGGCAAGCTCCGATTACAAGCCTATTAATGCTGGTGTTCCACAAGGCTGCGTGCTATCGCCAACGCTGTTTCTTCTGCATATCAGATATGTTGCAAACCCGTAACATTCATTGCTATGCAGATGACAGCACTGGACAGCACTCTTTACACCGACCGTGCCAATATTTCTCGGGAAAACGTCTCCGAGTACCGGGACAAACTTGTGTCTGAAGTCGAGTCTTTGCTGAACAGAGTCTCGGATTGGGGGCGACTAAATATAGTACAGATTAACTCCCAGAAGACACAAGTTTGCGCGTTAACCGCTAAAAAGAACCCCTTTGTCGTATCTCCTCAGTTTCAAGGCACTCCCCTTGTTGCCTCAGTCAGTATCGGAATCCTCGGCGTCGACATATCGAGTGACGTGCAGTTTCGTGGTCACTTGGAAGAGAAGGCCAAATTGGCCTCTAAAAAGCTTGGCGTGCATCAGAGCTGGACTGTATTTCATGCCGGCACACCGCCTGCAACTTTACAAGGCGCAGGTTCGGCCGCACATGGAATACTGTTTCAATCACTGGGCTGGGGCTCCCCAGTACCAGCTCCTTTCACTTGACCGCATCCAGCGCAGAGCGGCTCGAATCGTCGACGACCGAGTGCTTTCCGATCGGCTCGATTCACTGGCGCTGCGAAGAGATATTGCATCTCTTTGCATTTTCTTTCGCATATACCATGGGGAGTGCTCTGAGGAATTGTTCGGATTAATCCCAGCCGCCAAATTTCGTGAACGCACTACGCGGCAAACGTCCCGATACCATCACAACCATCCGGATGCTTGGCGGTGCACCACTTAACATCAGGTGAGCCGCATGCTCATTTGCCCCCTCTTCTATAAAAAAAATAGGATCTTTATATAAATTACAACCTAAGATTGAGCGGTTCTATGGACGGCTGCTGTACACGTCGTGTTTGGAGCTACACGCAAGTGTAAGTAACGACCCAAAGGAAATCCAATCCAAGACTATTCCGATGTATCTCGGACGTCAGTCTAAGCCGGATTATAATGGCTATCCAGCATCTTAAAAACGTCAATGTACTATGACAACATACTGTACAATGTACTGGCGAGGATGGAATTACCGCAGAGCTTCCGAAAGCGGGTGAAAAACCTGTGCTTAGTCCTTCAGAAGCTTTTCAATTATTTCCTCCATGGTAGAGCTACGCCGGAGGTGTGGAGCAGAAGTTCGGTAGTCTTTTTCTTCAAGAAAGGCGACAAGCTCTATCAAAACTTTCGTCAACTTATACAAAAGTTCGAAGATTACAATCTACCACTTTGTATTGCATATGTGGACTATGAAAAAGCCTTTGATTCCATCTAAATTTAGACGCTGCTACAGCCCCTTCAGCGGTGTCAACTTGACTGTCAATCGTTACATGCAAGCGCACGCATGATCTCTCACTTGTCACCCTTTTCCTAAAACTTTTTTTTTTTAGGAAAAGGGTGACAAGTGAGCACACAGTCCACCTGATGGTAAGTGGTTGTTGTGGCCCATTGACATCTACATCTATCCTCATTTGCGAATCAAAATGCAGATGCATTGTCAGCCTTGAGGACTAAGATGGAATGCCTATTTTCCAGTAAAAAAGGTCTCCAGTTCTCTACACTCATCATATTAAACGCAGAAGCATTAAGCTGCTATTTGACGCCGGTATTCTGTGAGAGTGTGGTTCTTCCCCGGTCGAGCCGACCCATTCATGCTACAACTATACATTTAATATACCTGCAGCATGACTCTACGACGTAAAAAAAGGGGGAAATTAGAATGAATAATTGAAACAAATCTTTATTTCACAATACAGTAAACTGACACTGGAAGTTGTAAGTCCTGGCCAGCAATAAAGAAGTATAGGTACATGGTCTAACGATAGAGAAAGAAATGACAAGCTGTCAAAAAAAAGTAAATAAAAAGATATGGCAGAAGAGTAAGATTAAGCGGTAATAAGGTATAGATTAAAACAAGTCAAGCACACCCAAGCAGCCTTTATAAGGGAAGATTATAACAATGAAACTACAAAATACCAGCATAAGCAAAATAGCAGCAGCTGCTGTGTTCCATATGGTGATGGGAATTGGAAGCTTTTTCTAGTAACAATGTATTCTGTTTTAGTTCTCAGTGACAAGTGACAACACATCTACAGTGTGATTCATAATCGAGGATAGATGTAGGTGTCTATAGGCCATAGAATCCACTTACCCTCAGGTGGACTGTGTATTTGTTTTAGTTTAGTTAATGATGGGCTGTTTTCTACAACTCCATGTCTAAGCGCGTATTTTGCATGTGGGCAAGAATATTATGATTTATGATTCGAGCCATGAAATCTCCCTGAAGAAGTTCAACAGTCCTTTAATGTTGCGAGCAACTTCGGGGAGCGACCCTGGCGTGCTGAGATGTGTTGCCCTATATGCAGTGACCTCCGAACATGCTAGCTTGCCTACCTGTGTGTTTTTTGTGAATAATTTGATTTACTGAGATTAAACTGTATTAATTTTTTAAATTCTACATCTATTTGAATAATCAAATAATAGCATACCTCTGATCACAATCTTCACACTTAAAAGGCTTTAAGCCTTGATGTCGCCTCATATGCTGAGCCAAGTTGTTCTTCTGACTAAAACCTTTGCCACAAGATGAGCACAGGAATGGTTTCTCCCCTGTATGGGTCCGTATGTGATCCCTTAGTGTAGAAAGCATGCAGAAGGCTTTATTACAGAAATGGCATTGATGCCTTTTTTCTATTTTATGAGCATCTTGGTGGTTTTTTAAGCTATCTTGCGTTGCAAAGTTCTTTGTACAGTATTCACAGTTATAGCCAGTTTCTCTTGTGTGTACAGATAAAATGTGGTTATCCAAATGAGCTTGATGTTGGAACTCCCTCTTGCATGTATTGCAAATATACTTTATGTTAGCCTTTATCTCGTGTGTCTTTAAATGTGCAGTGAATGATGACTTTCTCGTAAATCTTCTCATACACATTGAACAGTGAAAAAGTTCTGAAGGGTCTATGTTTTCAAATCTATGTGCACGTTGATGTATTTTATAATCCTTTATGTTATTAAATTCATTATCACATTTTTTACATTTGGCTTTACTTTTCTGTGCATCTTTATCAGTTTCTTCATTCGTACTATTGATATCATATTTATCAATTTCTTCTTCATTTGTACTATTTGCATCGTTTTTAATACTCTTGTTGCAATTTTTGTCTTTTAAATGTACCTGGTATAATGCATAAGTATCAAAAGTTAATCCACATTCACATTTGACTGCATTAAAAAATGTATCTTTGTTTATTACTTCCTCTTTATCATCTATTAGTGGACTTGGCAGCAGCTCAGCTCTTTCTGAGAAGTCAATGAAATCTGGCTCATTTTGTAATTCATCTTTTTTGCTTTGAAATTCATTCATATCACAATCATTTTCAATTGCATCATTAGAATAAAGGGAAGAGTTTTCTGGATACTCTGAGTAGTCTATAATATGCTTCGTTATTGTTAAGTCTTTCATCAATGATTCATTTGTGTAACTATGACCAGTTAATACATGTGATTCAAGAAGAAGTAAATCAGAGAACTTTTTTGAACAAACACTGCACTGGTAGGGCTCATCCATACAAAATTTGTTAAGGGATTCTTCTTTAATAGGTGATTTACATACTTGAGTTTCACTATCTTCAACTTTACCTTCTGCATAATATCCGTCATTTATTGCGCCCTCCGACTGTATACAGCGCTTTTTAAATTGGTCAAGCTTATAAATTGATGCATGGCACTCGTCACATACTTGTTTTGAAAAGGTATCACTCACAGAAATGTAAAGATTTAATATAAAAGAAAGAACTTCAGCAATAGTCCTATGATCACTACCCATTTTGCTAGTTAACAGTGTCATATTTTTACCCTCACAGAGACATATTCTACACGAGATATCCACTTTATCAACATCGACCGAAATATCCATTTCCATTTTTATTAAAATTTTTATTAAAAGTTAAATCAATTTTGCCCAATCTAAACAATACCAACAATACTCTACACTCTACACCTCCGAGTGAAACATCAATGTGTCAGAATCAGATTGTCAGGCCCATAGATTACTGAGTATACTAGAGATTAATGGTGGTTAATATAGCGCATAGCGCCATATTATAGCGCGCTATCTCTTCATAACGCATAGCGCGTGCTATGTAAATAGTCGCCATGGCGCTATGACGCTTTGGCGCTATTCATATCAAGTGGCAATTATTTCCAGCAGCAGCGCTGTTGGGAGTAGACGTGTGACGCAAATTTAATCTAGCAGCACGCTATTCATCGCGCGCGAACTAATTTAGTGTTAGACGTTATTTAGTTAGTGTATACTGTATATTTATAAGTTATCGAAGCACATAGTTGTCAGCTACAAAAGAAACCTAATGTTTTAAATGTAAATAAAATATAGATACAAAAGTGTATATAATAGTGTTTGTAAATTGTTGATTTTTGTATATACAATCAATAAACTTTTAAATACACTTTTGATTTATAATTTATATTAAGGTTAAAATAACGTTTACATCAATTATAATAAAAATGATTTATTTCATTTTGTTTTAAAAAGTACAGTTCTTAAATATATTTTTAGGATTATAAAAAGTCGTAAGCCTGAAAAGTATGAAAGAGCGTTCTGTAATTTTTCTTTACTACTTTATTTTATTTTAATCTAAAATGCGACTTATTACTAAACAATGTTCTTATATAGCACGCGGTCTATCCAATGAACAAGTAATGTAGCGTGCTCCGAGATATAGCGTGCTGTTAAACTTAACGCGCTTGCCGGCCTCCTACACACCTTTTTATAAATAGCGCGCTTTAACATAGCGCGCTGGAAATTTCTAGTTTACAGTCTATAGCGTGCTATTGATATATAGTCGTTTTGAACTACTTTACTAGAGATGTCAGACTGTCAGATAGGGATATTCGAGGATCATCGATGCTACATGATCATCGATGTTAAAAATTAAAACATCGATGTTTTAACATCGATGTTGCCACTTGTCAAACATCGATGTCAATGAACCCATAATTGATTAATAGGAACTTTTGAAGAACGCGAACCCGCGAAATCTATATCAACTAAATATTGCATCTCCTATTGAAGGTTTAAAATATTGAATACTAATTCAAAATTAATAAAGGCATCGATCACCTAAAAATATATCATGTCAAATTAAACTGTCAAGTGTGAACTGAATGTCACAGTCGTCAGTGCTTTCGTTTTGTTGTTCTGTGGTGTCGTTGTCGGTTGTCACCTAATACTTATTCTACGTAAATTGATATTCAAATAAATTGTTTTTCATTTGCTGTCTACACCAACATAATTTTGAAACAATATGTAAGTAACAACACAATTCAATTATATTTAGCTGCATTTTTGAGCTTATCATAACGAGTTCATTGTTTGCCTGAACTTAAAGGTTATGAAAATATATAACTGAGTGAGCGTGAGCATAGACAATTTCACTGCATAGTGCATTCAGCTGTGCATTTTATAAACGAACTTGGATACATTCTGCTTCGGATGTCTGATTGAATTGTGAACAAAGTTGACGGAAAAGTCTATTATTGAAATGAAAACTTCTTTGGCATCGTTGTGATTTGTGTTTTTGAAACAAAAAAGCGACAGTAAAAAGAGACAGACACCTAAATTCATAAGATTTAACGCGTGAGGAAATGAGATAGGAAGCATCATAGCTCAATGCTAGCGAGAAAAAAGTCTTAAACGCCGCCGAAACGGCATCGCTTACGCGTTTTCTTCAACAAGGTACGAAGGTGTCGTGTATCTATTGGAATAAACAAGCAGTGAAAAACGGCCAAACCTCAACTTCGTAATTGGTAAAATTGATATAAATCTTTTTGTAATTAGTGCGCTATATAAGGTATATCGAAGAGTATAAGCATTCGAAGGAAATTGATCTACTCGTCGTAAAAATTAGTAGCTGTTCCGTACTTTTTAAAGTACATTAACAATGTCCAAGACTTCTTTAGATCTTTTAAACATGGTCGGATTAACACATGTCATTTAAGTAAAATGAATGAGTCCAAGTAATACTAATTTGAATAAAAAAGAACCATCAAAACCGATGTAGGTAGTTTCGTGCGTTTCTTATCTGTATGGTTCACTTTCATAATCTATGATTTTCATACAGAAATGGCAACCACGTAGCAGCGGCAGTAAACAGTAAAAAAAACTAACAAATACAATTAACCATATTGAAGAAAAAAAACATTCATTAAAAATCCATGATTTCATAAATTCAGGTCATCTAGCGTCTATTTTACGTACCACCTTGGGTGTCAATCAGTTGTTCGATAAAATGAATACCGATAGAATGAAGTAGGTGGCGCTATTATAATTTTACTCCAAAGAAAATATAATGTCTATGTGATATACAATTGTCTATATATATATATTAAAAGGATTGTTACATTTATTTACTACAAAATTAATTTTCTTATATTTAATGCCGAACTTGCAGTTTCAATTATAATATTAAATAAATCTTTTGGCGTAAAGTATTTGTATTTTATATTTCATTTCATTTCATTTGAAGGTTTCACATACGTCACGTGTGATTTGCACGCGTTTTTTTTGTTTTTGTGTGGTTTGTTAATTGTTTCGTTATAATCATAATTTTTCTTTCACGATAGAAGTAGTAAATATAAAAACTACGTCTAAGTCGTAAATTAGGTCCCATAGTAAATTTTTTCATACCAGATTTGTGATTGAATTGTACATTTAAAAATCATAATAGTAACTTTTATCATGATCAGCAATATTAGACTATATAACAAATGGACTAAACAACTTCTTCCATTTTTTTAATGACTGACAGTAATTTTTTATTCTTTTCTTATATTTCATTAATAATAAACAACATGACTACTTTTTAATTTCCAACCTATTAAATAGGTACATGTGCAAAAAAAAACATCGATAATGGCCAACATCGATGTTTTAAGTTTAATAAACATCGAACATCGATGTTTCTGCAACATCGAATCGAGTGTCAAATAGGCATGTCGACCTGAGATCGATTAATCGAAGATTCGAATCTTGTTTCACCCTAGAAAATCGAGACCGACTATTTTTCTCTTTTCACAAGAACTATAAAATTATTTACAATTAGTTGAATGTAGTTTTTCGCTTCTTCTTAATGGATTAGAGAAATGAAAAATAAGTGACGATTTTCATCCGTACTTTGTACGAATCTAAAAGCAAATCAAAAAACCGATTTTTGAAAAATCGATCTTCTAGACCTCGATTTTTTTTCATCAATCCATTTCATTTCGATTTAAGAATCGATCTTCATACCTACTGTCAAATCAAATGTCAATCAACAAACATGCCATGGAGTTTAGAGAACAGGAGAACGATCGCCGTAGAAAATAGTGTCCCAGATATATGGACACCATAAGTGAGGCGCTGCGATCGCTAAGTCTATTTTTCCGATCAGATGCTAAACCACTTGCACATTCACGTACAATAAAATATTTCTCCATTTATTAATGTTTTTTTGTCAAAAATTACAAAATTACGGAGCATGAAAATTTTCTCACCTATGCCGCGAAGAAAATTTGTACATTATTCAACTAACTTCATCTACTCGTACTCATAAACAGCTAACTTCGCAGTCACTACTCACCGACGTCAGCGCCGCTATAAATCCTACAATTTTCAATGACAGGTGGGCTATGCTTTAGTACGTAGCGATTGTTCTCCTGTTCTTTAACCTCCATGAAACATGCCATGGAGCAATAAAATAATTATTGTAAAAAGAATTATGGTGAGTCTGTGCAGTAAAAAAATTATAAACAATTCTTTAAAATTTAGACTGTAGTAGCTACAGTGACGCCACCCTTATTTAACGCTTTCCTACATACACTTTTTATACAGGATCTGTACTCCTTACCCCTATACTCCATAAATCCATGAAACAATCCGTAGACAGAGAATCCTATAGACTCCGCCATAGCGTGTCGCAGAAAGGGACAAAAGTAAATACGTCACTATATTTAGGGTTACAAGTGTGAGGAAAAAATTTACCCCACAACTAGCTATAAAATTAGAAATTAGTACGTGAAGTAAGCCTGAAATGGAACACTGCTATTAACGATTATCATTGATATGTATGGTAGTTGATGGAGAGCTAAGTGGACTGTATTTGACTAATTATTTATTATAATTTACTGTGGTGAAGAAAGAAGAAACTAAAAAATTGTGATATCTGTCTGACTAATAAACTTAAAGAAACTATTGTGTAGTGAATGAGAGCTTAGTGGGCTGTATTTATGTAGGTTGTGTTTTAATATTGAAGAAAGAAGATACTGAACTAACTGTTACCAGCCCTCTGTCACTCTTGCTACCTGCGTGAAATAATTACCTACAATCGCTAGGCACCCAGGGTAACATACGCAGTCGGGGCTAGCGCGTTGTAGCCGATCGAATGTTTGTTTTGAGTTTTTTAACGTAACATAAACACTCACGCCTGTCACCCAGAGGGGTAGGCAGAGACTACAGCCTTCCATTTGGCACGATCCTTACATACCTCTTTCGCCTCCTTTACATCCATATATCTACGCATACATTCTCGTCGGTTAAGGGTACTTCTAACGTGGCCCATTTTCAAAATATCGCCAATTTGGTCGATAAACTTTTTTTTAACGGTGTTTACGTAATTAGTTTTTTTTTTGTAAATACTCGTTGAGAATAGTCTTTGTTTAGTGTTATTTATATTATTTTACCAATTTGATAATTTTTAATGGAAAAACGTCGCTCCTACTATAATTGTTGCGTGGATGGATGCCAAATGCCCAAAAAAAGGTTTCAGATAT